CCAAAGTGGACGGAACCAGACTTGCCGATAACGGCAGGAACCAGGAGTGGCAATCGTAAACGGACAGGCATGAGGTACAATAGGTACGGTGATGACTTCTTGATTGATAAGATACGGCCTGATGAATTGGGCAACGAGTTACTGAGTGTGGGCGAATTGGTGGTAGACGATGAATGGCAAATCATCAACGACAGCGAACACTACCCGAAGGAAGACTACTTCACACTAGAACAAGAAACAGATCTGGAGCGAGGAAGAGGCCGAGCCTAACATAGGACAAAATTTAAAAACGAAATTTGAAATACCCAATGAATACTGGGAGAACATCCTGATAACGGACAGCGACTTCATTCTGTCAGACAGGACTAGCGCGATCTGTATAACGGCGGACATGAGCTTCAAATCGAGACTGCAGGCCGACTTCAAGAGAGAATGCCAGAACGTGGAGTTTCTATTCAGACAGAGACCGGGGCTGGGAGGAATGGCTGCGCTTCCCCCATCAGTGGCACAAGTCCCAGGAAAATACCTGTGCTTTCTAGTGACGAGGGTCAATGAAAGGAATACGATAGACCCTGAGCACGAGCTGTTAGCATTAACGAGGCTGAGAGACTTTATGATTGAAAGAGGGATAGTGGAGGTCTCGATGCCTGTTTATCACCCAAACAGGGGCAAGTTGAGCCCAAGGGAGTTATATGCCATCCTACACGTGGTCTTCGCAGAAACGGAGATAATGGTACACCTACACAAGAAATACTACTCGAGTATCGCCTGAGCTACGGGTGGACAGCGGAGATCTTGAGTTGGGGGTACATGGGGATCTCGAGTAAGGGTACATGGGGACGTCGGAGCAGATAGATAGATTTTAACGTAATTGGCATGACAATTAAAATTTAAAGAGTGACGGTGGTAAAAGATTAAATGAATCTGCATGCTCTAAAGAAACTCTCAATTGATCTATTTTAGTAAAACAAATAGAGGGATAAGACTACAATAATGGGGGGGTTTAGGTTAGGAACATAACACCTTAGTCTAAAAAGTGGATTTTACTTTCAGATTGATTTGTTAAGTCGAGTTGACGACCCAAACACACTCATTGGAAAGAGAATAGAAGGTCTTGATCAAAGTTCACGATCAGCAACATTCGCAAGAGATATTTCTCAAGTACTCAAGTTGGTACGGTAATTCTCAAGTTGGTTGGTACGGTAATTCTCAAGTTGGTTGGTACGGTAATTCTCAAGTTGGTTGGTACGGTAATTCTCAAGTTGGTTGGTACGCGAGATAATCTAGAAATCGTAAAAATGGCGGATCGATTTTGGAAATCCATGCCTGCGGCACTAAAGAGGCCTACACTTGTACAGACGCTTGAGGGACCTGGACTACACCCAAGTGGACGAGAAGATGGCAGTGATGTTGAACGCCATCCTGCAATTAGAGGAGCAAGGTGAGTGCAGGGAGTCCGCGACCGAAGCTGTCTTGATGGTCGGCTCTACCACAAAAGGCATATCCAATCAAGAACAGACCAGGTGGCTATCCTGGAATGTGGATGGAGGGGTGAGAGGATTCAACTTGGGAAGGAATCCTGGCTTGAGCAACAACACTGAGTACGGCGCGGGAGAGTTCCCATTACCTACCAGACCATCGGCAAGATCCGCGGGCCAATCCACAAGCAAGCCACCTTCTATGACGCCAGCATAGCAAACGGAAGAGACTTATCCGGACCTCAGCAACCTGAAGAGGGAACTTGAGAGGGCGCAGAGGGAGAAGAACAAAGTGAATCTTGACCGGGATAGCGCGAAAGTTGAGAGAAATCAAGCGAATCTGGAGAGGATCAGGCGATCCTTGAGAGGGACCAGGCGCATGTGACCTTGATATGTTGAGAGCAGATTACCAGCAAGAACAGAGGGTGCGAGAGAACGCGGCGAATTGCGAGCAGTTGAGGTCGGAACTCAAAAAGATCCAGCGGCGACAACGAGAGCTCGACAGGCAAAAGGAAAAGGAAACCAGGACGACGGAGCGAGCTGTTGCAGGATGAAGGCCGAAGTCACGTATGGAGGTGGATGAGGCTCCCAGGTCGAAGAGACGATTCAACTTAGACCGCGCGGCTCAAGAACACATAAACGAGGGACTGGAAGTGTGGATACCAACCGAATCAGCGTCCTCTTCCCTGCGCGGTTTAGAGACGCAACCGATACGCCCATTGATGAACGTGGCACTGCCGGGATATACCCCGAGCTCAACCCCGAGCAGCAGTCAAGTGAGCGGGAGTTTGTCGCGTCTTAAGGAAATAAATGAGAGGCTACAGCTAAGAAATCGTGAAAGTCCAGCTAGAGTGGAGGTACCCCCGACTTGGAGGGAGCAACCGGTCAGGAGTGTGGTGATCGCGAGCTACAAGAAAAACACGGATGGCAGATACCACAGGCACAACCGCATGGATTTGAACGCGGCGCAGCGGGCGAGAAGGGATTGTTTCCATGACGCTTCTTGGGCTGAATACTACACACAACCACGAATAACGGAGGGTACCCGAAGCTTTCAGACCCGATGAATAGTGTTCCAGCGCAGGAGGAAAATGATATGACGCACGAGAAAAAGATGAAACTAGAGCCTCTGCTGGAAGCCTCGGGAGAACGCAATTTTCGAAACATAGAGATTACACATGGGGAATGCCCATGCCATTGCTTGGCACAGACAGTGTGGTACCCGGAGCTTTCAAACCTTTGTTTAGTTTGGGATGTAGAAGAAATTCGTCGGTCAATCGGGTTACCCGATCATCAGCAGAAGGTGACCATCTTGGTAGTAAGTACGATGTTGGCGTTACGATGGATCGAGGAAAATGGAACGAAATATAGCGAGTCGAAGACACCAACGGTGGAATCGATATACGCTATAGATTACAACAGGAGACTTGAGTTGTTTGAGACTGTATGCAAAGTATTCGCCATACCAATGGAAGTCAGGCACGTATGGAGCCGCATAAGGTTCTTTCCGTGGTTTCGAGCGACGTTAACATCTTGGTTGTACATAGCGACGAAAGATCACATGAAAAAATACCAAAAGGAATATCGACAGTTCCTGGCAGAGATAGGTCCGGAAGCCTTCAAGAGACCTCTGCTGACCCATCGAAATGCGATCACAACAGGTTGCAAAAGGGTCGGTAAGGTGTCTAGAGATAATACCAAAGCAAGAGAATCGATACTGGAGGAGGACTTGGCAAAGAACGTGAGCTTGAGCCACCACAATTCCTTTTGCTTGAACAGGGAATGGAAAATGAAAAATTTACCGAATCAGGCAATGAGGTTGCGGGAGCAGAAGGAGTGGATGCGATCCTTCGAACAATTGAGAGCTTCGGAAGAATTCGTGATCAGCTCTGATGATGAGGAAGCGCTACTAAGGCAGATCACGGTGTCAAATTCATCGGGTCCTAGCACTTCGAAGGCTAGGAATACGAAGTGAGCAGGGAGCTTAATATGGGTTTCTTGAGTCTTGAAAGGAAGCGGCTCGAGTGTGAACTCGGATGAAATCCGAGGTCACGAAAAAGAAATTTTAACGAAACAAAGTATTGTTATTAATATGCTATAGTTATTATATAAATCAAAATAATGCATGGCAATTTCCTGATTGGATAGGACAAAAGAAATTCCAATCATAAGCTTCAAAAGCGGAGACTTAAGGTGCAGGTGTATGAAAATTTTGATTGCTGTTTAGCGATAGAGTGACAATTTTATATGGTTGTGATTTTTGGGGTGTAGATAAACTTAAGTCTGCTGCAAACATCTGTAAATGACCACTGGCACTGTATCTTGAGCAACACTCGGTATTTTGGGGACTCACTGGCAGGCGGCAACACGCGATGACGACATCGATCTTGAGTCCGGGGAGTATGTGCCAGTCGGTCATATTTGGAAGTTTGACCATGAGCAATTTGAACTACGTAATTTTGGGATGAAATTTAATTTTTCAAAAATTCGAATTGAGCCTGTCATGCTCAACTTTCTCGCGAAAACTGAAAATCTCAGAAATACAAGAGAAGAACGACCGATTTACAATCGCAGGAAAGTACTTGAAAAAAGCAGCAGGAAATTTCTATTCGCAATTTCCAGATATAAATTAAACGCGAGTGTAGCTGTCCTATCCTGAAATAGGAGAAGGAGCGATTACAAAAGAAGAACATATTTATTTCTAGGTGAACCAGAGTGAACACTCAGTGGAAAGGTGGACAGCTGGGGTATCCCAATGGTCCAATCCCAAAACTTAATTCTCAAGTCAAAACTTATTTCCCTTGCTGGAATTCATCAATAGCAAACTGCTCATGTTATTATACTTAATGCTAGAGTTACTGATTAATTTAGTTATCTCAATCCTCGAGTGTGCTGGTATGTGAGTACCCAATTTAATCTTCTTGAGTGTGTTTTATGATTGTTATGTTGAGGTAAGGAAAGTTTTGGGTTGATCCATCTGAAATGGATCAAAGTTTCACTGTCTAATAAAAAGTAACTGTGCGGATTGTTCCGACCCTGTTTTTAACGGCGTTCGTGTATTTTGGGTATTTTGAGACCTAAGTATGGGGACGTTCTTTTTTTCTAGAGTGGGGGGTATTTTGGTAGTGGCCTTTAAGCTGTAACGGGTTTTTAGTCTCATGTCGCAAGTGAACCGAATTGGCTCCGACCGTTCGAGGTAGAAAAACAAAAGAGATAGTGTCCCTGACTCTTGAGCCAATGGTTATAGGGCCTATTTTTCTTTAACCTCATATGTGACCGAAGTATGCGACTGTTACAAAAACTAAACTTTGAACAATGCAATGACTTAGTTTTATGCGAATCCTTGGATTATATTCCTAAATCCTGTGTTAATTTTATTTATTATTATTATCAGTTTCATATCTAGAAATTTCCAAGGAATTTGACTGGAATACGTGATGAAGGGACTCCTGGCTGTAACCTCGGGTACTATGATTCTTTTGACCTTCTGATTGCCCTTAAAATTATTGTTCGAATTCTTAAAGGTTTTTCAATATGCCTCCAACAGTGCAAGATACCAACCGTCCTGATAGAAGAAGTCATGCTGGAAATGAGAAGCGTTCGGGGTCAGAGTTGTATAGCTGCCGCGTCAAATACAACAATGCTTTACCAGATATTCCATTTGATCCAAAATTTATTGCCTATCCTTTTGACATGAACAGGTATGTTATCACAATAGTTTGAATGTGTTAAAGTTAGTGTCGGATAAGAGTGTATGAAATAGGGAAAAGTATCACCGCGTTTTATCGAAATCCCAAAGTTGACTCACTAATCTTGGAAAGAAAACACACTAAGTTTTCTGTTTCATTACAGTAGCGTCAATTTGTTGTATTATTAAGAACCTTTTTTTTTTCTAACTTGAGTCGCAAATATGGGTGCCACTTTTGGGACACCTTTACAGATTTTTGATAGCATGTGCTTTGACATTCAAATAGTAATAAGTTAACACTGTTGATGCATTTTTAATTCATCATATGAACCTAAAAACCTATTTGTTTTAAACAACAACAATCATAAAAACTCAAGATTTCAGAAATTTTCTATCGCAATAAATCTCTCAACTTTTTGAAATGCATAATTTATACATAATGTGGCTTTATGCTTTGCGATTTGTTACATGCAAAGTTAGCGTGGATGCCTTCAGTTTGTTATATTCCAAGGTTTTACTTTCAAATTTGTGTCTATTTTTATTTGGTGCCACTTTTACTGAATGCCATTGGCAAATTTATTAGCATGTGTAGCTGCTTTATTCGTGACTAGAGTTTGTCGGTTGTTAAGCTTGCGTGGCTGAGTGGTTAGTGCAAGAGACGCAAAATCTCTTGATTGCAGTAGGTCTAGTGAATCCTAGACCTAGTCGAATTTTTGCTAATTCGAGGCTTATTTCTATTTTTATTGCACTTTTTAAAGCTGCTTTTTGTCGTGTTGTCGCTAGTGTTAGCAAAGCGAAGCTTCGCCTCTGTGTAAATTATGATATCGAACTCTGCATGTTATCAGTTTAATTTTGGCTGAATGATTCTTGCAATTGCTAAAAAGCAGGTTCTGCTGAAAGATTGACTCAGTTGTTGTAGACTAACTTTATTGCTTTGTCCAAGGTAGATTCGAATCTTGGATGATTGCTTTATTCAGAGTCAAGCAATGAATTTTGCCTACTTTTTGAAGATTTTCTGTTTGCTGATCTTTTTAAATGTTGAATCTAAACCGGCTTAAACGATAATTTTAAAGTTTAGCCCATGATTACGCTTGAAGTTAACAAGCGTTATCAAATCGGAATGTAGACTTTTCGGGTTAACAACTAGTTCAGAAAAATCAGTTGAACAAATTGCTGCTGACAGCGTCGGCTTCTGGGGTTTTAATCCGTTTTTTAAAAAAACAATTTTTTTGGTTCAACTGTTGTCTGATCAAAGATTGTCGGCCTCGTTTCCGCTTCATAAGTTTTGTTCCGTTGTTCATTTAAAATTCAAGTGTTTTGCTTGGTATGTTAAACTGGAATTGCTGTTTGATAGAAACATGTATTATGAAAATGAATGGAAAGTTTCATTTTTTCCCCTCAAAGTACGCTACTGATTTCCATAGTCTACAAAATTTTCGGTTTCTCAAATCTAATACTTTTGGTTCAATCCAAAGAGGCGCTTTGAGAAGCTCCCGTGAATATTCGACTATCCCCATTTTTTTGTAGACAAAAAGTTATAGCCATCGCAAAAATCAACATTTTGATTTTTCGTTTTTTTTCTTTTCTACGCTTTTAGCCATTTTGTGAGCGCTTATGAAAAAATTTGTCAAAATAGCCGATAAAAACTAATTTGGTTTAAATATTTTGTTCTAAATATTTTCGGTTTTCAGATTTATTTGACGAAATTGAGAAGTTGAGTTCTGACCACATTTTTAACGTCATATAGTGGTCTCTTTTCATTGTTATTTTAAGCCATTATTAGTTCTCATTGTTGGTTTTGTTCATCTTTACACAAGCATAGCTCGTGTTATAGTGCGAACTTTCTTTTTTTTCCAAACTAAGTCGCAAATATTGTTGCGACAAAACGTGTCATTTTGAAAAAGTTCATTTTGATCCAGCTATTAAGTACAGCCAATGCTAAATATATTAACACAGACTATTATATTACAAATGACAATTTAGCTTCAAGGCATCATTGATATTTAGCCTAGAGGTAGGGAGGGTGACCAGCAGCGAAATATGAGGAATCGAAACTGGTCAGGGTCGGATGTTTTATTGAACTTTTCGTATACAGTTTAAATGCGTCCGCTCTATAAATTGAGGCATGTTATTTGGTAAATTTCTTTCGAAATGACTGCTAATGCGTCTTAATTGGTTTGCTTCACTTAGCAATTATGTAGACTCATAACTGGCGTGCGTCACTTATGAAGTTTTGTAGACTCAAAGTTTTACTCATTTAGTTTTTCACAGTAGCGTTAGCGGTCATATTTTTGCTTGTGTATGCGAAGTGCAACTTCGCCTCTGTGTATAAAGTCTTTCATTTGAAAAAGCAACAAGAAGTTAAGAATTTGAAAATTATCTGTTTTCGAAATTTTTTTATTCTTACACTTCCGGGAGCCAATGTATTGCAATCCGGTGCTAATTGTTTTCTGTGAGTAACTTTATTGTCACAAAACTCATCTCCTGGCGTTGTTTGGTCTCCTGCAGGTCTGTAGTTGGTTTGGCTCCCAACAGATATATATTTTGAGCTTGTTTTCATCGTAAATATCCGTTCAATTTGAAGTTGCTTGTTCTCAAGGGTAGGACAAGCAATTTTCTACAGTTAGTTTTTTACTTAGTTATGTTTTTTTGGCTTAAAAAATTTCGGCTATATTGAGTTCTATTAATTAAGACTAATGAACATGTCATAAAAAGTCATAAAATATTGATGCACTTCGGTATAATGCACTTTTTGAGTTTAATTGAAATTCATCTGCTGAAAATGACGTAAATAGCACTGTCCAAATACGAACGTAAAAATGGCGCGAATAAACGTAAACTATTTCTAGTTTCGAAAGTGGAATTTATTTTCAAGATTTCCCAGCGGAATAAAAACTGTTTATGTTTACTTGCGTTCATTACTCTTTCCAATCTTCGATTGGCTATGTTCAGAAAAGTGCTACTCATAAATTGTTCTAAAATTCAAAGCGCTTTAAGGGCATCTATTTTTTTTGAAACTCAAAAATTGAGATTTTTTCAAAAAACAAGTCAGTTTTTTTTTCTGTTTGTGTTCATTGATTTTTTTCCAACTGTTTGTTGGCTCTGTTTTTACTTCATGTTCTTTTTGTTTTGGCTAGCTCGCCATGCCATGTTTGTGATGCATCGCAAGTGGTGCGAAGCTCCGATTTGCCTCTGTGTTGATTTTTGTAGAACTATTGTGGCTGGAGGTTCTCCGCTACTTGTAAAGCAAACGGGTGTCCTTTTTTTTCGCGTTCAAGGGTCACTGAACGAAGTGAATTTCTTATATAGGATGTGATGAGTTTTTTTTCTTCGGGGTAAAAACGGAATTTTTTAGAAAACATTTTTAAATATTGATGTCCTGTTCCAAAAAATATTGCATTTGTGATAGTTTTTTTGAGGATCTGAGGTTTTGTGATAGTTTTTTTGAGGATCTGCATCACTAAGGCACTGTTGTTCACGAATCAATAAAATGTGAAGCGTAGATGTCAAATTCATCCGGCTCAGAAATCTATCTATACTATTTTCTTTTACAAAAGCAAACGCTTGTCTTTTAGTTCGAATCCATGTTTCTAGACTCCAAAGCTGTAGGTAGTCGATGGCGAAGTTTAGATTCACGTAGGGTTTCTATAAGATGACGACCTATATAAGAGTCTTCACTAAGTTCATTGACTCTTATATAGGTCGTCATTTTTTTCAGGAAAAGGTCACGCTCAAATTTGATTTTTCGTGGTTTGACTTTTGATTTGTTTTCAAGTTCAGTTCGTTTCTTTTGTTAAAAGGAAGACAAATTTCACTATCGACTAGAAAAGTGAAAAGGTTACGAAAAAATTGATCGTCTTCTAATTTCGAAAGTGGAATTTTTTTTTTCAGATTTCCCAGCGGGATAAAAACTAGCATTGATTCGGTTTTCTCAAATTGATTTTGTTTTCTCAAAAAAGTTGGAATCAAAAATTTTTATTGAATTTCAAAGAGTTTTTTTGAAAGAATCAATGTTTTTCCGGCTCCTGTTTTAATGGATCCTTTGCAACTTTCTATTGGCTATGTTTTAAATCTCATTAGGTATGTGCAGTACAAACCAACATCACTGGAAAAGAGTTTCAAGAGTGAACTGTTGACAGAAGTTGATCTGGGAATACCAATTGAGCTAATAGACAGTCGGGCTTACCGACTTAATCCCAACGGTCAGTCTATCTTCATATACAAAAATGAGTAAAAATGAGGTTTTCATTTTCATATTCTGTAAAATTTATGGCAGTAGTGGACATTGACCCCCTCACCACTCAAAGAGTGCTTTTTTATAACGATTAGCAGAGCTCGGAAAATCAATTTGGTCCACGTTAAAAAATTCACATTCGAGAAAGTCTTTGAGCCGCCTGATTCATGTTTTGTAATGTTCGATTGTACTGGTGGCGGAAAACGTTTTTCGCTGTGTTAGTTTTTTTCTAAAGTAGAAGCTTTTTCGAATAGAACTGGTTGTATCAGATGTCAGCTACAAATCCTATATATTGATCAAATAGCCTCCTAACTAATCGAGTATTGTGGTACTTGCAGACCAATTAGACCCGGCCGATGAGCGTCTTCTGGAAGAGGAGAGTGCGGTGGCCCAGAACTCGAAGCGATCCAAGCAACATGCCAGAAATATCTCTTGGTTGCGAAGAACTGAATACATATCATCGGAGCTCGGAAGATACGGTCTCAGCAGCGACAAGGCAGAAATTAAGTCAGTAAAGCAGTCGAATTAAACATGGTTGGAGATAGTACTTTAAAGTAATGTTTCACTTATATTGTTTTTAGAATCGGAGCTCAGATCAAAAAGTTGATGAAGGAGGAAGACCTCTATCGGGTTTGAATAAATTATTTAGTTTTATTACATTATACTACATCATTTTTAAATCCTTGAAAAATGGGAACTTGCTCTGGCCATCTTAGTCTTTGCTTTCTACACGCACCCATGCTTTCAATTTATATGAAATTTTGATGAATGTCATTAAAAGAATTTCTATCATGTTCAGGACCGAGAGAGCCAAATCAAAGCAATAGAAAAGACGTTTGAAGACAGCAAACTTCCAGTAAGTTCTTGGATTTATAACCGACTTTAATAGTTTGTTTGGCTCTTTATTGAATCTTGAATTTCTTTTGTGCTCAGATTGAGAAGCATCATTCGAAACAAGGAGTGTACAAAGTAGACGAACATCCAGTGTATCCAGATTTTAAGGTAAAAAGTTCAAATCATTCTGGCAATTGATATTTTGTGCCAGCATTTCTTTAGCGAAAATACTGAGCAAAGTGTTCATTTTTGATAAGCATAATTTTGTCAATTTTAGATAGATAGTTTTAGATTAGAACTTTTTATTAAACTTGTTTTTGTCTGATTTTTACGTCAATTTTGGCGCATCCTTTTGACATTTTTAGTAAAATTGAAAATTTATTGCAATTCAAAGATGTTAAATTTGATTAGTTTGCGTTGCCTTATGCACACCTATGATGTGTTGTAGCTCTGGGCACACCCATACGCGCAAGTCATTTTCGACGCAGATCCTGCTCCAAAAGACAGACCAGTGGAAGAGCAGATAAGTGACATGTCTCAAGCCATGATCAGGTTCGCTTATTTTCGCGTAAAGTGCTCTTTGTAATTGGTGAAAAAAAAAATTATATCTCAAACAATTAATGATCCCTTTTTCCGTTTCTGGGACAACCAAAATTTCTTTTCTTAAACGAAATTTGAACGTGGGATATTTTGTATTGTGTTATCCAATGATTAGGGAAACAAAGTGCAATTGGATACTATAATGAATGGGATATGATGGTAGATGGGCCTAATAGTCACGTTTCAGATGTACAAGTAAGATATCAAGTCGGCTATGATCTGTGTCATCCTCTTTAGAAATGCGTATGAAGTGTGTAGCCCTCAAGTGTTTGTTATTAAACTATCACAAATAATGTATATTCTGTGTTTACTAAAGGGGTATGATGGATGAGAGTGGAGACCAGTTCGTGGCCTACTTCCTGCCGACGGAGGAGACGAGACGCAAGCGGAAGATGGACGCAGAACAGGGCATCGAGTTCCACCCAGAACAAGAGTGAGTAATCAACAGATTCTTAACTGAGGTTATTTAATTTGAGAATATTGCTTGTGTTGGTTTCGATAGAGCTGGTGAATTTTATAACTGACTATTAATAGATAGTGAGTTTACTGAGCTTAACGTATTAAATAGCTTTTTCATTTGAAAAAACTTCAGAAACACTTTTGCTTCCTTGTTCGTTAACACTTTCGCAGCTCTGTTGGCCATGTGTTTCAAGTGAGCATGAAAAAAGGGCATGATTGGTAGAAAAATAAAAGGTCAATTAAATACTCGAGCCATAATAATTGCAATAGGCGTTAAAAGGATAACTGTGATTAGGCAATATTTGACCTCCGATAGTATATACATGTATGGTTGGCTAAAATATTGACCATATAAAACTCAATTGGCTCCTTATTTACCAATAAAATTAAAACAATGCTATTATTCGCTACAGACAGTCTTTCTCGAATTGTTTTCTCAGTTTATTGGAATTCCTCTTTGCTGAATCCGCTGTGACTTGAAACACAGCTTCGCGTAATTTCGTGTAATTAAGTAGTCTGTGATTGATGATATTTGTATCAGGTACCACTACAAACTGACCCGAGAGTATGGCTGGACGGTGAAGAACAAGGCCTCCAAGGGATACGAAGAGACATACTTCTTCATCTTCAGACCTGAGGACAACGGAGTGTTCTACAATGAGCTGGAGACCAGAGTCAGACTGAACAAGAGACGCAAGCTAGGACCACAGGTGAGAGATGATATATTCTCGATCGAGTCATCTGAACTTATTATTGAGTGCCCGATGTTCTGAGGGTTGTTCCAGACTCTTTGGGACACTGTTGAGTAAAAATTAGATTAACGCAAGCATCGACTTATAGTCTTTGGTCTAATGCTAAAGAATATTTATTCGCAGTCAGGTCCTTTTGACTTTCGAAGAAGTTAGAGGTTGCTCGGAAATGACTAGCAATAATGTCTTCTGTTCTAACCAAGACAGTAATGCATAACTTTCTCGTTTCATAGGGACAAAATCTCTCACAGCTCACAAACTCGATCCTGACTGTGACTCACCGGGACTTCGCGGTAGACGAGAAGAATGCACAGAACATCAGGATGACGCAGCTGGAACCAGCTTTGGCGGAGGACGACGAAGAAGAAGATGAAGAAGAGGAAGAGGAAGTGAATGGGGAAAACGAGGGGGAAGCAGAGGTCGAGGGGGAGGAGAATGAAGAGGAAGAAGGGGAGAAAAAGGAGTCTGGTTCTGAAAGCGAATCGGAAGGAAAGACGCCTATAAAAACTGGTAGGTCTCGTCAATATTCATCTCAGAACAAAACGTCATTTATTTGGGCAAGTATCTTGGAAATGCAAAGTTGTGGAATCCATTTACCCCTCCTGAAAAATTCCATAAAATCACATAGTTTTCTTTTTTTTTAGTTCAAAGCTTGTAATTCTTGGTTAATAAGACAAAAGCTGTAGAATTAGATCCAGTCAACAATTTGTCTCATTGCTGAAGTACTTTGAGCCGACCATGGTGACTTGATAGAATTGAAAAAACCGTTGAATTTTTCTATTCAATTCGAGTAAAATCAAATCTTGACCTTCAGAAGCGGCGGAGACGAACGGTGACAATGCAGATGAAGTGAACGATAACATAGAGGCTGAAAACTCAGATGGTGAGGATGACCAAAGTGCTGAAAAAGACCAACAAAATGAAGTAACCCAAGACAACAATGATTCACTTGTCCCAAATGGAAAACCAGAGAACGATGAGTCAGAAGCGGGTGAGAGTGGAGTGAAAAAAGAAGGCCACTCTAGTAGCGAAGAGGAGGAGGAGGAAGAAGAAGAAGATGATTCGAGCGAAGATGAAGAGGTTCAAGAGAAACAAGACGATGAAGACGAGTAGCAGCTATTATACGCGCAGATGTAAATGCTTGCATAATCAAGCTCCAAAATTTAAATAATTTGGTTTAAAAATAAGAAGATACCGCAAATTACCTCTATAAATTGGGTTTTCCTGCTATTTCCGCACTGCTTTTTAAATATGCGATAAATGTTGGAGCTTGATTTTAAAATTAACAGCATAATAGCGGAAGACGAGAATCGGCCGAATGGCGTTTGGTGGAAAATCGCAGGTCGTACCTTGGTTGTGTGAAAGCTGCACCGCACCGCGGGAAACTGTCTTCAGAAACTGTAACTTGGATTAGATTAAACTCTTTCTATTAAGAATGTCTGTTGAATATTCAACTTTTAAAATTTTATTCTTTTCATTGAGTTATATATAATTGAGTTGAGTAGGTTTTGAAGGAGAAAAATTGAGAATAACTAAGAAAAAAAGGTTCGGAGTGTCCCCGTCTTTATGCACGTACCCGGCAACAACACTAAGATTAGTAGGGGAACGGAAAAGTTAAGATATCTAGAAGGGGGCAGTTATGAATTAACTAGTGAAACAGAAGAAATAAGAACGTTTAGAAAAAAGGTGACATTTGAAATACTTAGCTTCATTTGAAGACATTTTTGATATTTGAATTTAACCAAGTTAGTTGCCTTGCGTTTTCAGTTTTTAAAGTTAGAAGTTGACTTGATGTTGTGACTTTACTAAGTTTTCAGTTCGTCGTGCGCTAATGGCGTGCACACGGAGCAAGCTTCGGAACGATATTAAGTTTGAGCCGAGTGCTTTAAATTATACTGAATTACGTGTAATGCTTTCTTTACTCTTGACGGTTTATACCAGCCAAGTAACAAGTTTCAGGCAGCGTTTTGAATCCTTTCTCCCCTGAAAAACTTATTTGACGAAATACACAGTTATTGTTCTACGACGTTGTAGCTGAGAGGACTTAGTAATCGGAGGATTTTCAATGACGCATGATAACCTACCGACTAAAAGCCAGATTCTGTCAAAAGTAAGAGGATTTGTCATTGATGTACAATCGAAAAGAATTTTTTGAGAACAAACGAAAGTCCTAACGACGCAATCTTTTGGTCTGAACATTGCTATTATTGATCAAAACGCTTAATCAAAAGTTTTTCCCGCTGTGACGAGTCGTTTTGCAAATTTAAAAAAGGCAATGAACGTATTGAAGACTCAGAAGATATATTGTTCCTGAAGTTCAGAAAGGCTTTAAACCCATATGCTTCTTATTTTGAAAAAGGAAATTTGAAGTTTTTTTTTGTGTAATGAACGCATTGAAGACTTTTATATAGTTCTTGTGATTTTTTACGGGCTTAATTTTGATTTTTCGTGTTTGACTTAAATTTTTCCAAGTTCACTGCATTTCTATTGTTAAAACCAAAGCGAACTCCACTAGCAAAAGTGCAAAATTCACAACAAATGTGATCGATTTCTGGTTTCGAAAGTGCAATTTAATTATCAGATTAACCAGAGAAATCAAATCTAACGTATTGATCTAGTTTTCTAAAATTGGGTTTATTTATTTTTAAAATTGTCAATTATAAATTTCTAGAATCTCAAAAAGATTTAGGGCCATTTTTATCGAACTTCAAAGTCTGACATTTAAAACAAAATTAGTTTTTTTTTCTGTTTATTTACTCTTTATTCTTATATTTGCGTACATAACTCTATTCCAACAAAAGTAAAATCTGATCGATTTCTTGTTTCGAAATTGGAATTTAATTATCAGGTTACCCAGCGAAATCAAATCTAACGTATTGATCCAGTTTTCTAAAATTGGGTTTTTTTTATTTTTTTTAAATAGTCAATTATAAACAGTTCTAGAATTTCAAAGAAGTTTAGGGCCATTTCTTTTGAACATCAACGGCTACTTTAAAAAAACAAATTAGTTTTTTTTCTGTTTATTTACTCTTTATTCTTTTATTTGCGTACATAACTCTATTCCAACAAAAGTAAAATCTGATCGATTTCTTTTTTCGAAATTGGAATTTAATTATCAGGCTACCCAGCGAAATCAAATCTAACGTATTGATCCAGTTTTCTAAAATTGGGTTTTTTTAATTTTTTTTAAATAGTCAATTATAAATAGTTCTAGAATTTCAAAGTAGTTTAGGGCCATTTCTTTTCAACATCAACGGCTACTTAAAAAAAACAAATTAGTTTTTTTTCTGTTTATTTACTCTTTATTCTTTTATTTGCGTACATAACTCTATTCCAACAAAAGTAAAATTTGATCGATTTCTTGTTTCGAAATTGGAATTTAATTATCAGATTGCCCAGCGAAATCAAATCTAACGTATTGATCCAGTTTTCTCAAATTGGGATTGTTTATTTTTTTAAATTGTCAAATATAAATTTCCAGAATTTCAAAAAGATTTAAGGCCATTTTGATCGAACTTGAATGATGAGACTCTTAAACATACTTGTCAACGGGCCGGGCCGGGCCGAGGTTTTCACTTTTGTCAACGGGCCCCAACGGGCCTTACCTTTATTGACTAACCAATGTTATGTTTCAGTGCGCACTGTACAGATTGCAGTGTGCTAAACGACATGACTACTACGTTCACTGCCGATTCACTGCAGAAACAAATTCGACGTGACACGAGCACAAAATCTTTCGCCTACAACAGTTGAGGCAATTGAAATGGTTTCCATGGCTTTTAAAAAAGGTCTTTATAAATAAGTAAAACAATTAATTAAAATTGTTTTGAAAAAAAAATTTTTTTTACCAAAAAAGCAGCAACGAGCCCCAACGGGCCGATATTTGATAAATTCCCTGTTTATCGGGCCGCCAACGGGTTCGACTTGAGATATATCGGGCCGGGCCTCAATTATGGCGGCCCGTTTACAAGTCTGCTCTTAAAGAAATAAGTTAGTTTTGTTTCTGTTTATGTGCGTCCATTACTCTTTTCCAATTGTCAGCTGGCTATGTTCAAAAAAAAAGACTAAAAAAATCTTCATGCCCAAATAATTTAACTTCAAAATTCGAAAGATTTTTTTTATGAACAATTTTTTTTTGAGGTTTGACTTTTGTTTAAGGATCAACTCAGTTTGCTTGGCTAAAAAATGAATTGCGCCTACCAATTAAGCAAGCAGATGTGTGAAGCAGATGTGTGAAACAAAAATGTGAAATAGTTCAGTGTCCAAAAACAAGAGTTTCAAAAAAATGCAAAAAAAATAATCTGATAATCTTGTTCTCTAAAATTGTCGATCTTGAAATATTGGGGAAAAATAGAGAACTTCAATCAGATATTTTTTTTTCAATATTTATAGGTTTTAAATTTTAGGATGAGCAAACTAAAAAAGTTTGGTTTAACAAATTATTATGGCATATTTCACAACAGTTGCCGTTACAGTTGCGAAGCGAGTGTATTAGTACGAACTTTTTTAATCCAAGTCGCAAAGAAAAGTGCTAATTTGGTGGGACTTCGAACGGTAGACTGCTGTAGCAGTATAATGTCATATTTGCTTCAACATTTGATAAGTAAAAAAGTTATACGTTTTTAATTCATCAAATGAACCGAAAAAAGTTATTAGTTTCGAACAGCAGACCAATGATGAAAACTCGATTTCAGAAGTTTTTCATTTCAAAGTATCTCACAAACTTTTTCGGAATGCATAAACCATACATAATTTGGCTTTGTCCCTTCCATTTATTTCATTACATGCAAAATTGTATCTTTTTGTATTTGATGCTACTTTTGCTGCATTGAATTGAAATTGGTTAGCATATATGATGCTGAGTTGTTGGTGGCTAGTTTTTGATGGTTTTAAGCATCCGTGGCTGAATGTTAGTGCCCGAGACTCAAATTAGTTAGGTCGCAGATTCGAAGCCCACTTATACCGAATTTTTGATATTTCGAGGCTTATTTCTACTTTTTTTTTCACTTGATAGAGCTGCATTTTGGTCGTGTTCTCGCAAATGCTTGCGAAGCACAACTTCGCTTCTGTGTAGAAATCTGAATAAAAAATTATTATTTTTTTTTCATTCAAGCTAACCCAAAAATTAAATATTCCGGTTGACAACAGAGCATATTACCAGTTCCCATTAAGCTATGAATCACTCACAAGAGCTCACCGTAAAAGACAAAAGATTTGAACGAGCATAATTTGATTGCTAGACAAAATAGTTACTGGAGCGCCACATGCCACAAAATTGAATGAAAAAACAAAACTTTCAAATGTAAGGTTCCTGGAAAAGTTTTTTTATTTAGTTCGAAAACTTTTTTCAAAGCACCTACTTGCTCGCTTCATTCGCGTACAATTATACTGATAGAAATCAACTATTTTTTAACCGTTTTTTTCGACACTGAGAAAGTTTTGAACAATTTTTAACTTTCGTTTTATCACTTAATAGGTTTCATTATGTATATCACTCGGCCCATTACTTTGTATATGTGTGACACTGATTTTGCCTGGAGAATTGAAAAAAAGCTAAAAACTCGGTCGAAACAAAAATAGAAGAATTTGCGAAACATGAAATCCAAAACGATAGAATTTTCTATAGTAAAAAAAAAAGATTAATGTGGCCCACAGCTTTTTTCTTTAGTCATTACCTTGCCTTTTACGCTTGCGATTAGCAAGCGCTTTCAAATCTGAATGTAGACTTTTTTGAGTTAACAACTAGTTTAACAAAATCAGTTGACCCACTTATGATGCTGACATGCTCAATTTATTGAAAATTCAATTTGAATTACTGGATGGTTACTAGTTTCTATAGGCTAGTTTCAAGGGAGTACTTGAAACATTTTAATGCTTTTACATAATCAGTTTTTTTTTGGCTCAACTGGCGTCTGCTCAAAAATTGTCGACCTTAACTCCACCTCGAAGGTTTTTATCAGTTTTTTCGAAAGTTTAAAGTTAGTTATTATAAATTAGGTAAATGTAGGGGATTGGTTTTTTGTTTTTTGAGAAGTTTTACAAAACCTAAAGAAAAAATTTGTATTAAAAACATTTTAAAATTTTGTCTCGCAAAAAATTGTAGTTTTTTTCTATGAGAACCCTCCTTCGATTTAAAAAAAAAGTTATACAGAAAGATTGCTTAAACTTATTTGTGCCTGCATATTCTCCTGGTCTGTTTTTGATTCACCCTTTTGTCTATTGGCTTCGACCGATTTTTTCCTTATTTTTTCACTTTCGCAAGAACTAAACAAAAAACTCTGAAAATTTGTTTTAAAAAGTGATGATTAACTCCACTCAAAAAAGTGCTACGTCAAAGCTTTTTTACAGATAAAATTCTATCCCTCGGAATAGTGAAATATTTTCTTTTTTTTTAATTGTTTTTTGAATCTTCTTAATTTTCCCGAAGAATAATTTCCCAAACCTGAGGTTGTGGGTTCAGGGAAGATA